AAATAAATGAACTTTTCCACGACATTCTAATTTATTGAGATTAACCTGTATGTCCAGCAAGTGTTTTTGGTTTTGAGGGAAGCTGTTTTTTAATTTTTTTGCACTACTTTTTCAGGTTGTGTTCTTTCAGCATACCAGAGGACTTTGAGCCAGAGAAAAAATCTGAAGAGGGGAGTGGAGCTTCTGAGGTCCTATACCAGCACCCTGAAATCACACCACTATATGGGGTCACTGCACGCCTGGAGCCTCTCTTTCAGGACGCCCAGAAAAAGTTAATGAGTGGAAACATTTTGTTGTATTTTTTTAAAAAGTGTATTATTGAGAGTGCTTTGAGCATGTGACTTTGTGTTTCAGAAAGGGAACGCCTCTAAAGGCCACTGAGGTGAGGAATATAATCACAGAATATGTGAAGACAAATGATCTCGTCCATGAAACCAACAAAAAGTGAGTTTTTAAGTAGTTTGAGCATTACATTAGTGCACTCTTTCTCTTGTGTCACAAGTACACTATTGTTTAGAAGTTTGCAGTTGGGCATTTTTTTTATTTTTTTGGAAGAATTCTCTTATGCTTTCCAAGGCTGCATTTTTTAATCAAAAATGCAGAAAAAAATTTTAAATTGTGAAATATTATTACAATTTAAAATAAGTGTTTTCTATTTAAATATATTTTCAAATGTAATTTATTCCTGTGATACAAAGATGAATTTTCAGCATCGTTACTCCAGTCTTCAGTGTCACGTGATCCTTCAGAAATCATTCTGTTATGATTAGCTGCTCAAGAAACATTTCTTATTATTATCAATGTTGAAAGCCCCCATACATTTGAACGGTCGTGTATGTTGAGTTTATATGGATCTGTGCAAACTACTGCATGGTTTCAGTACTTCAGTACTGTAACTTAAGGTTTGGGTTGAAGTGACCTCCTCTTATTTCTTGTTCATCAGTTATGTTAACATTGACCCAACACTTTGTGACTGTTTGCTGGAGAAGTCTGAATATCAGGAAGTGGAGAGGCTGAAATGGGATGAACTCTTTAGCAGGTAACTTTACACCAGCCTGTTCTTCTTCTTTTTTAACATATTAAATTGTGTTTAATTTCTATGAGAAGCACATAATTGTGTTATTCCGAACCAATTTCTCAAACAGGAACAGTATTAACCCTCTGAAAATAATGTCTGTTTCTCGACTGTATTTAATTTGCAGTTGCTTATATTGTCTGTTTACAATCCAGCTGTGTGTGTAATCACTAACATATGGTTTAGAAATGAAGTAACTAGCTTTTTACATTTTCTGATAAAATGCCTTAATTTATGTTGATGGCTGCTTTTGTGTATGAGATTTATTTTTTTTGATCACGTGCAGATTGATCTGAACACATGCGAGTATGAACAGTGTTTCTCTGTGTCCTCAGGACTCTCATCAGAATGCAAGCGTGCCATGAGGTGCTGTTACCAGGTCAGCCTCCCTTGGTTAAGAAAGGACAGATGGAGCCCATAGACATTACTGTCGCCTCCAGGGGCTCCAATAAAAAGGTATGAAGCCATCATAAGTCTATGACTATGTATAGTGGCCTCAAAAAGTATTTGGATGCTAATGCCACAAATCTATGAATATCATTTATTATATAACACAATGCTAAATAACGTCTCAGAACTTCACTGAGCCATTTTGACATTTAATCAACTGATGTAAAGGTGATTATTAGTAGATGTATGAAGTCAGTTCTCCTCAAGTTCACATGTGTCCTATCAGAGTAACTACAGGTGTAGTCCATCACATTAAATGTGTACATGTTCTGTTAACATCTAATAACCAGAAAGTGTCACAGTACTTTTTTATCTTGGATAGATTTTTTTTTTTTAAATAAGTCTCTTATGCTCACTAAGGCTTCATTTATTTAATCAGAAGTACAGTAAAATCAGTAATATTGTAAAATATTGTTACAATTTAAAAGAATGGTTTTCTTTGTAAATATATTTCAAAAGTAATTTATGTCTGTGATCAAAGCTGAATTTTCAGCATCATTACTCCGGTCTTCAGTGTCACATGATCCTTCAGAAATCATTCTAATATGCTGATTTGCTGCTCAATAAACAATTATTATTATTACCGTAAATGTAGAAAACAATTGTGCTGATTAATATTTTGGTGGAAACTGTGATGCATTTATTTTTAGGGTTCTTTGATTAATAGAAAGTTCAAATGAATAGCATTTATTTTAAATCTTTGGTAACATCAATTTAATGCATATTTAATGTAGTGTATATTTTGTTTTGGTTTTGTCATGTTAAATCTAATTAGCCTTTGTTTTTTTAAAGAAATATAATGACCATACCTTTTTTTTAATGTGAAAACACAAAAATTAATTTTATTGTTCAAGACAGATTGCCTTTTGTGTCTAATGTAAAACACATTTTTATCACACTCATTGTCTCATTTATTAAGGTTACAATAATTAAGAATC